TAAGCCGAGACACCCTTGGGGCGTCTCGGCTTGGCCGAGACACCGTAGATGCCTCAGTTCAGCTTTGAGACGTTTTCAATGCCCGTTTGACTGTTTTCGCTGTAACTTCTTTGTCTGAACTCGGATCTGAGTGATTCCAAATGCGTTGGAAGTCTGACGAAGAATTCTATCAGTTCCAATGGTTAGATTATCTGTAGAATGAACGAGACATGAAGGGCGTTGTTCCTTTTGTAAACATCGCGGGGTTCTCGATTAGCCTGTGTCTTCGTTATTCCGAAATCCTATCAGCTCACGTAGTTCGTTGGTTCACTTCAAGCGTTCACCGACATCAATCAAACTCCTGTGAACCAGATAGTGATGTTCATTGTCGCTCTTTAACACTGAGCTGTTCGTGGAGACCCATAGGCAATTTTCGATGCCTACAATCTCCACCAGAACGTCCGAGGCCAGACCAAGACACTTCCGTAGAAGGAAACCTACTCTTCAGGAGGATGAATTTCCTGTAGGGTCCGTCAATATGACCGGAAGAGGAAAGTCAACGTGACGCTTTAATCCGGATCAGTTCACCGAGGTGTCCCAACGTATGACTCGATTGCGATCAGGGACCAGTAGGCGAAAGAACTACCAAAGAATACAAAAGGGACTTCCCTCAAAAGATGAAACTTCGGAGGTTTGCTCGGATGCCGACTCGGATGCTTGCTCAGCGATGGCTTCCGATGACACCGCTTCAAGTGCAGGACAGCCCTATGAGTCACTTATGATTAGCGCTGAACAGGTGGCTAAGTTGCTCAAGGACGCTCTGACTAAGCAGAAGGAAAATTTCAAGTTCGAAATGAAAATGGCCATGCAGCAGATGAGAGAAATGCACGACCAGCAAATTGCGGCACTAACGACCCATCAAGGAGAGTCTAGTCGTCGTAACAATCCGAATCAAGATGATAACGAGCGGGAGAGTCTAGTCGTCGCAACAATCCGAATCAAGATGATAACGAGCGGGAAGAAGATAATGCCAACATGAACACCCCTCCCGTCAACAACAATAATGGGAGTGGCCCTTTGGATGATAACAACACAAAGGAGGATCACGTTACTTCTCCCCGAAATCACTCGAAAATAGATACGAGTGAGGATAAGAAAATGAGGGACTTGGAGAGCAAGATTAACGCATTGATGAGTGCTCAAGAAGTGAAAAGGTCTGGGATACCATGTCCATATCCAAGGGAGTGGGAATCAATTCCATACCCGGCGAAATTCAACTTGATCAATTTTACGCCATTTGATGGGAAGGGTTCCCCAACCCAACACTTGATATATTTTAAATCTTATTTAGGAATAATCTCCGGGAATGAACCCTTAATGGTGCGGTCATTCGTTGGCACTCTTCGCGTAGCAGCCTTCGATTGGTATCGCTGCCTCAAGCCGGGGAGTATCAGCAGTTAGGATGACATGGAGGACATGTTTCTGACAAACTTCTTTGACGACGACACCGAGATTTCGATCGGCACACTATTTGACGAGAAACAGAAAAATGGTGAGACGGTCGAAAACTTCGTGAAGAGATTCCAAAACAAAGCAATGAACTGCAGGGATCTGGTCAGCGAAGACTTTATCCTCGAGACTTGTCACAATAATCTTTCATTGGACATCCTCAAAGCTATAGGAATGGCACCACCAAAGACCTGGAAGGACTTGAAAGTGCGAGGAGAACGAGCCGAGAGATTCCTTAAAAGGAAGAAGGTAGAAAGAGGTCAGACGGCAAATAATGCTCCACAACAGAACTTTGCCCCTAAAGGTAAAGGAAAAGCACAGGCGAATGCGGTGGACGCAAACCAAACATTCGAAGTACAAGCACAACCGCAACAACAATAGCAGAAGACGCCTCAACAATCGAGGTGGCAACAACAGCCTCAGAAGCAAAAGGCCTCGGAGCTGAAATTCCCAAAGGTCTATTCGTTCAAAGAGGATGAAGTTCCCGGTATTTTCAAATACCTTATAGAGAACAACAAAATCAAGTTGCCTCCGGTCCAGGATCAGGAAGATGCTAAAAGAATTAGCGATCCAAAATACTGCGCATTCCATTGAGCGGTGCATCACCCTACCAAAGCGTGCTATGCCCTCAAAGACAAGATCCAGGCTTTAATAGATGTTGGGGTCATCACTATGAAGCAACCTAAGGAGAAGAAAGTGGGTGCGAACGCAGTATCGATTAGCTTTGGTTTTGTTCCCTTGAACTGGTTCCAGCATGAACCGGTAATAAATGCAGCAGGGAAGACCGTGAACGATGATCCTCACAAACAGTGCCAGAAAGGACTTGTGCTACACACAGCCCCGAATGGTGAGATTCTTTGGGTTCATCCAGATTTGATTGGAGATGAACAATGGACTGGAGCCTCTTCCAAGAAAAGGTCAAAAGGAAAAGGTAAGTCTTGTTATGGAGCTTCTGCTATTCCAGGAGAAGACGACGATGAAATCCCAACCTTCCCGTTTTCTGAAGATGAGCAGGAGGCCTTTGCTACTAGGAGCGGGAATGAATATCACTACAAATATCCGGATGCTTCCGAGCAACTGGCTAAGCAGGGGGTAACCAAAGCCGTTCCCTCCAAGACATTAGCAGAACTGGGAATTGTCACAACTTCCCCAACACCTGTAGCCACGGAGAAAGTCTAGCAAAAGGAGAAGGGGAAGGAGCCTCTACGCCAAGAAGCCCAAAACCCGAGGCAGTCTCGATTCAATCATTTCACCGGCCACATTGGCTCCAGCGTTGTCAACCGGATCCAAGTCGATCCGGGTTCCGCTGTCAGTATCATGCCATTCCGATTGATGCATAATCTCGGAATACCAGCAAGTAAACTAGCATCCACGGGCACTACGATCTACGGATTCAACACCAGTGGGTCCAGACCTTTGGGAAAGATTCGGATAAAGTGCCAGATCGGGGATTTAAAGTCAGAAGTCACTTGTTACGTGATTGACGCGGAAATATCCTATAACTTACTGTTGGGTCGACCTTGGATCCACGGTAATCTTATAGTCCCGTCAACTCTTCATCAGTACCTCAAGTATGTGGACACAAATAATGAAGTCAAGACGGTGGTCGCGGATAAGCAACCGTTTAAGGGATTGGAGAACTATTTCACCGATTCTCTTTTATACGGTGCCGAATCCGATACTGAACCATCAGCCCAAGGAACGGACAGCGGAGATGAAGCTGATACCGAAGCTGGGTTTGATTATGATGGCGGTTTTGTACTGAATGACATTGTACCCATTGTAATCAATCTTGACGATAAAAAATCATCGGAAAGTAGTTTTAACTGGCAACTTGCCGAAGAACTATCAATAAACGATGATTTAGAGTACTCGATGTGTCTTGATAATATCACTAAAGAATTGTATGACAACCCTGACTTGTATATGCCAATTCAATCATTTTGCATGACGAAAAAGCAGGTATAAGATCCATACGGAACGACACTTGTCATCCCCGCAGGGACAGGGGGTGGAAAGGAAGTCGTCTATGGTAAAGGAAGAGAATCTCCGATAC